ATTACAACACTTGAATCCAGAGCATCATTTGCCTGAATAAGAGAACTAAAGAGAAATAAATGGACTAGATCTGTATTTGAATCTAACTCGGCTCAAGCGTGTGCAGTAGCCGCGTCTGGCCGCTAGGGGCTAGCAGCTTCGTTCTCGCGCGGGTCAGTGACGTCACTGGAGCTCTCAGAGCGACCCCACGTGGAACGATGTAACATAAACTAAAGCAGAAATACGAGCTGAGCTTGGTCATGATTGCTGGACACCAAACTTTAAAATACTGTGTAAGGGTCACTCCGAGGATTCTGCAACATTTCAACGTCATTCATTTTCTAAATGCCCCACATCATGAGGCACATATCAAACCTCCAACAAATCATATTTTCCACCTCAGCCATTAAAGACCTTTCATTATTTTCACTTTTTTTCTCCAATGGACAAAGTGGGATTGGTTTAAAAGGATTTTACATCGTCCTACGCTCAGGTGTCCCTCATCGCAATTTAATGATAACAAATTTGACATTTATCATAATTTCCATTTACACATTTTTATAGGACTGAAGCCAAAAATACACAAATTGTGTGTCTATGGTACTATCTTTATTTTTGCAAAAAAATATTTTTAATTTAGAAGTAAACTAAAACCACAACTTTATTGTTTTTTTCCCAAAAAAATATGAGCCGTCATGATTTTGTCAAGTATATATTAGTATATATATATTAATAAAGTAAATAACTCAACCCCTTCACATGTTTACAACCCGGTAGCGATGAGAAATACTCACGGCACGCTGGGTTGCCTAGCAACAGCAGTTGTTTTCTTTCAAACTCCGAAGCCAAAAATGAGAGCGAGAGAGACACGTGTGCGCTACACAACTGAACAAAATATGAATAAATAATCAGTATTCTTTAACATCCTGCTCACTTATGCATACAACAGCATGATAAAGAATATTAATACACTTTATATAAAGTTTTGTGTTAGTGGCTTACATTCCTTCACAAACAAATCAAAGGAAAAACGTTAAGACAATTATCATTTGTTGATTATTCATATTAGTTATTGTGGATGTGCCTTATGTTCCCAGTCTTGTTATGTACAATTTGCAATAATAATAATAATATTAATAAAAAAGGAAAACGTGAAGTACGAGCCGAGGTCATTTGTTCGTTGTTTGCATTCTGCCCTCTTGTGTTCTCTCTGTGTATGTGTGAGATGATTCGCTGGAGGCTGATTGGTTCTCCTCCTCACCTGACCCAGAGATAAGGACCGCCCCCAAACTGGGCCATGATTGTATATAAGTCATTATAATCAGTAATTATGTCTCCACTGGATGCAACGAATGCCTCGTTTATAATGGGTTTTAATGTTTTTGTCTCGTCGCTCCGGCCGGACACGGCATCATCACAGTATGGTGAGGGGCGTAACATTTCCGTCTCACGCTTGAGGTATTCGGCCAATCACAACGCACTGGATAGCTGGCCAATCAATTCGGCCAATCACAACGCATTGGATAGCTGGCCAATCAGAGCACACCTCGCTTTTTCAGATCGATGAGCTTTGTAAAAATCGACGCGTTTCAGAAAGGCGGGGCATAGAGGAGAAACAATAATGTACAGTATGTGGAAAATAATGCGTTTTTCGAACCTTAAACCACATAAACACATTTCATTACACCAAATACACAAAATAATGTTCTTTTTAGCAGCATCATATGACCCCTTTAATCGTGTTAAAATCGGAATATTGTTGTCCATGTAAACGTACTCATGAGCAGAGCCGTTGTGTTTCTGTAATAACTGTAATAAATCATTCAGAAAGCACATTCACCAGTCCTTCCGTGTTAAACGGTCTGTTTGCTGTCAAGCTTCCTGAGGTTTCCGCTCTAATAACGGCTAAACTCATGCCTGACATCTATCAGATATCAGAGCTGAATAGTGATTAATAACCAGCTTCATCATTCGTTCCAGTTTCTCTCTCACTCCGCTTGTGCTCTGATCTGAAACATCCACTGACAATAACTCAGAAGTCTACCAGTTTACGGACTATAACAAAGCACAACTGGAAACTATAAAGAACTGGTGATTCTGGTGAGCTGACGGAACTGGAGAACAGAGACTAGAGCTGACCAGAATCACAGAATCACTAGACTTAGAATTGAACATCAACAAAGCCTTTTGTTTTCCTCTTCCAAGACTGTTTCTTGCCAAAAGGCTGGTTTGAGTTCCTGACGGCTTTTGCGTCACAAGGAAGGGGTTTAACAACTGCTCTGGGCTCTTCTTCTTGGGGCTCTGCTATTAGATGCGTTTGTGTTGATCTGCCTGCTGACCTCGTTCTTAGACACTACGGGACGAGTTATTAAAGTGCGTCAGCCAGACGGGATTTAAACAGAACCAGCTGAAACCGCCATTTGGTTGGAAGGTGATAAAACATGTACGAAGCACAATGTTCTCTTAGCACAGACACAAACCCACAGCGATTGCCGTAGTTTTGCAGATATCAGAGCAAACCACCCTTACAGCTTCACTATCACTGGAAAAATGAATAAATTAAATAACTAAAGACTACATTAAAACCTTTAAACCCAACAAATCTGGATCTGGTGGGATATTAAGGGAGATATGAAACCAAACCAGCTCTAGAGTTCATTCGGCTGTAATGAAGTGATTCAGTGTGTTTATGTGCGTCTCTAACACTGACACACTAACACTGATTCCTCTGGATTCAAGCACTGACGGCAGCCATCGTCTTTACAAGTGCACACCAGTTTCATCCCAGTGATCACAGAGGCATGTGTGTGAAAGTCAGCGCTTCACTTCATTACTGCAAATCTAGAGACCAGAACTCCAATAGACACATTCATGCATTCGGCAGATCTCTCTACTCAAAGAATCCTTGTAAACATAACAAACAATTCCAAGTAAAATATACTTATAAGTTCAAACTTTAATTTCTACAAGCTTGAATTGAGTTCTGATATAGAATGTACTCTTTTTTTTTTTTTTGTAAAGATCAGTGAAGGTGATGATTGGAAATTCGTCCTCTCCTTTCGCACCATTCACGTGTGGGGTACCTCAGGGGTCTCTTTTGGGTCCTATTTTATTCTGTTTGCATATGCTCCCCTTGGGTCCTGTCATGAGGAAATATAATATTTCCTATCATCGCTATGCTGACGACACTCAGATTTACATCCCTCTCAGTTCTGAGAACTCCTATTATGAACTTCTCAAGGGTTTTAAAGATATCAAATGCTGGACGGCAAGAAACTTTCTCCAGTTAAATCAGAGCAAAACTGAGATTGTTGCCTTTGGGCCTCCTGGTGCTGTCTCTGACATTTCTAGTAATCTAGATCTTCAAATATTCATCCTTTTGCTAAAAACTTGGGTGTGATCTTTGATACAGATTTTAATTTTGAAAAACAGATGAAGAGCAGCTTCTTTCAGTTAAGGCAAATAGCCAAATTAAAGTCTATGCTCTCATTTAAGGATATGGAGACTGTTATACATGCATTCATTTCCTCCAGACTAGACTATTGCGATGCACTTTAGATGGGTCTCAATCAATCTTTCTTGTATCGCTTGCGGTTGCTGACTGGCATAGGAGGAGGGAAAGCATCTCCCCAGTCCTAGCTTCTCTTCACTGGTTACCGGTGCAGGACAGAATCCATTTGAAGATTTTATCATTTGTTTTTAAAGCATTAAATGGTGTAGCCCCATCCCATCTGGCTGAGCTTCTCAGTTAACAACAATCATCTCGAACTCCCAGATCCTCCGATAAACAACTCCTGCATGTTCCCCTCTCTCGTCTGAGGGCTTTTTCTGTAGCTGCTCCTAGACTGTGGAATAGCTTATCTCAGGACATCAGCGTCTTCCATTACGGTTTCTAACTCACGGCTGAAGACCTATTTGCATTCCAAGGCTTTAGCTTGAACTGTATTTGTGTACTGTAATTGTGTACACACTTTTTTATTTGGTTATTTGTTTCTTTCCTTTTATTTTCTTACTCTTTCTTTTTTTACATATTATTGGTTTTGTACAGCAGCCAAGAAATTAAAAAAGTTTAGATGAAATTCGTACTTTTAATACATGAAATACCACCAGTTTTTACTGTGAGCAAGAACCTACATAAATCAGTCAAGTCAATGTGTTTCAAATTATAATCTAGGAATTCAATACAAGTTCAGTAGCTACTATGAAATATTGCACTGAATTAAAGTTCAAATGTTACAGATAAGTTACAATATCGATGTTGTGATACTGGTAGCACTAATATAAATACTTGATGATACACGTTACAAAAACGTAACAATTCTGAAATATGTTGTTGGTTGTATTTTTGTCTTTTATCTCAGTGTTCCTATCAATGTTATATAAGGGTTTTTTATGCATAATAGTAAGCATAGAATGTGATCAAACAGTTTAAAATAGCTGGGCTGAGATATATAACAATGTTTATGACTGCAGAAATGTGTTAATTCAGTACAATTAAAAAAAGAACTATTGATTATTTCAAAGGGTTACTAATGACTCATCATTTGGATATTTTCATGTCAGGATGAAACGGGTTAATGCACCCCTGCTTTATTGTAAGTTACCCACAAAACACAAACAGATGTTTACACAAACACAATCTGAGTCTGTTTTTCATTGGCGTTTGAACTTCCGGTTTAACGCGCATGCGTGTAACGCGTTTCTCGCTCTTTTTCAAACATAAATCCCGATCATCGCAGAGTTTATTTCCCTGTTCTTCCTCCGCTCCGAAGCTTTTTCCTTTATAATAACGCCCGTGGTCACATGGGGACATCTCAGTAACTGTATCTGATCTAATTAAAACCCATATCTCACAGTTTATGGATGAAAATGGGCTTGTGTTTTCTCTCTGATGTTCTTCCCGGCGGAGCATAGCTCGCGCGCGGCGTGTTTTCCAGGAAAACCGGACGGAAATGTTTTCCTTTCGTGCGCCCCTCCGATGACGTCACTCGCGGCGGGCCGTGCACCAATGAGAGCGCGAGAGGAGCAGCGCATTTGAGCGCAGCAGCAGCGCGCGTCTGATCTCTTTGTTGCTGCGCAAGGCACTACGCTCATTTATTCCGCAAACAACGGTAAGTCAGTCAGAAGTGGTTTAAACATCACAAGAGCATCGTCGTTGTCTTGTTAAAGCTGGTATCGCTTGTGTGGTTATTATTGACTGGGCTCTTGTGCAGTGAAATGGCTCGGCTCGCGATGGACGGGTGCGCACAGATGTGCAAGTGTTTCCTGATCCTCTTCAACATTATGTTCGCTGTGAGTATGCCTGGCTTTACTGGTGGAAGCCTGCTATGGATGCCATGAACGCATCTGCACACGGAAATAAAGCGCTACTTTCTGTTTCCGCGCAGTAAAGTCGGCAAGATTTTCAGATTCGACTTTTACGGGTCAATACCTCGAGCAAAACGTTTTTACTACACAGCTGACGCCTTTTTTCCTTTGTAGTGATGTACAAAACAAGAGAGAAAGTCCGAAGGGACCGTCTGCAAAGTGCGACAAAAGTTACTAATAAACACTCGATAACTACACAGTAACACGCTGTAGTGTCACCAAACTCCGTTCACACATCGCTGCTCTCCTGCTGGTTACACTACAACAGCTATCGTGAATAATTGCTTTCGGATGATTTTTTTTATTTTTTATATTCAATAAATTCACTGTTCTTGGACAAATCCGTTAATAACTTCACTGTAACGCACTGTACTTTCACCAAGCAGTGATGTGTGGACTGAATGTGGAGAAAATACAACGTTTAACGTTATTAAATATTTAAAAATATGCAAAAGCGATTATTTTCACAATAGCTGTTGTAGTGTAACCAGCAGGAGAGCAGCGATGTGTGAACTGAGTTTGGTGACACTACAGCGTGTTACTGTGTAGTTATCGAGTGTTTATTAGTAACTTTTGTCGCACTTTGCAGACGGTCCCTTCGGACTTGTCTCTCAGCGCGTTGAGATCAATGTATTTTGTTCAGAGCGGAGGAAAGCTTGTTTTCAGCAAAACTCGCGTGTAGCTCGTTTTCTACATCACTACGAAAGAAAAGAGGCGTCAGCTGTGTAGTAAAAACGTTTTGCTCGAGGTATTGATCCGTAAAAGTCGAATCTGTGACTATCGTGCCAACTTTCCAGTGTTTTATTCCAGTGTGAATGCACGGCTGCTGGTGTTTCAGTAAAGGCACAGCAGTTATTCCAGTGTTCAGTGTGCTGGTGTTTCTGAGAGCTGTGCTGGATGTTTTTCAGCTGGTGGGGCTCGGTCTGGTGGCTCTGGGAATGTGGCTCCGTTTCGGCGCAGAGACCCGAGGCTTCTTCGACATCGATCTGCACACCACACAGTTCAACATCGGTGTGTTCTGCTGCTGTGTCTCTCTGTGGAGTTTCACGTACATCTCAGAGACGTCTATCTGCATCACATCTGCAAGACGTATTTTTAGAGTGTTTGCTCATCTGCTATACGTCTACAGGACGTGTCCTATCAGATGCCTTTAAGATGTCTTTAGAATGTATGTAAAACAGACGTCTGCCAGATGTTTGCACTCAGCAGATGCTTTCCAGATCGAGAGATCTTTAACAGACGTCTTGCAGATGTACGTGTGCTATCTGGGAAACCATAAACGTCTTAAAGACATCTAATAGACGTCTATTTGACATCTGATAGGAAACGTCCTGCAGGCAGCGTGAGTCTGAAAAAGTTTGGGTATTTGTCCTTCCGCACTTCATCTGTAAGTTTCTCAAGAGTGATCGCACATTTCACAAGATCGGTTTCCGCTGTCATGAGCTCGCGTACATGCTCTGTGGAGGACTGCCGCCACACTCGAGCCGTCGCTTCATGTTGAGATGCGTGATATCTAGCCGTGACTCTGTGTGTCCGCAGGAGTGATGGTGCTGGTGGTCACGGGGGTCCTGATGCTGCTGGTGGCCATCATCGGTGACTGCGGCGCCTGCAACAACAGCAAAACAGCTCTCGGCGTGGTGAGCATCATCATCACTGCAAACACCTCACACTCACTCAGAGAGTTACACGTGTTCACACTGAATCCTGAAGCTGTGTAACAGCTTTGTTTCAGAGTACAGAAGGACAAAACTCTCACTTGTTAAGCTGGACAAGTCATGGCTCTTTCCCTCGTGCATATCTGAGACTTGGAATAGAGTGTTTATGTGCTGAATAAACATTTCTGTTTTTCTGGGGTTCAGTTTTCTGGCCTGCTGACCGTTCTGATCATCATTGAAATCGCAGCCGGTGTGATGGCCTTCATGTGGAGTGACAGGGTAAAACACACACACACACACACACAGAGCTGGGTAGTAACTGATTACTAAGTTGATCATTCACAGACACAGACACAGACACTCACAGACACAGTCACAGACACTCACAGACACGGTCACAGACACACACACACACACACAGGGACAGACACACACACACACAGAGACAGACACACACACACAGTTACAGACACGGTCACAGACACACACAGTCACAGACACGGTCACAGACACACACGGTCACAGACACACACGGTCACAGACGTGTGTTCTGACCGTCTGCGTGTGTTTATCCTCAGACGCTGGCGCTGGCGTGCAGCTGTGTGCTCCGAAGACATGTCTCCGTGTCTCACGCGTCTCCTCCTGCATACGTGCTCCTCACCTCCCCGCCGTCAGTCGCCCAGATGATATAATCCTCTCTCTGTCTGTGTGTCATCCGTTTGATGGAGGGATGAACACTTCCGTCGGTTCATCTGTCAGCATGGATCACTCATAAACACGTTCAAACGCCGCACACGAGCCGTTTAGACTCTTGGTTTTACCGCATTAATGTTGTGGATCGTACTCATTTCTTCAGTTCTGAATTCTGCACGACTCTGTTACGCTCTAGCACACTGTGTGTTACCATCTCGTCCTGAATATTTCACTGTCTTGCTGTACGCTTAAAATCTGCATGTTTCATGTTTGTTTTTTACGGCGACATTAAAGACTCTTCCCCAAAGCCGTCACGGTACAGTGTGTTTTATCAGAGGTCAGGGGTGGTCTGCTAATCATCTGTGATCGACACGTGAATCCATGCGACGCTGTGACTGAATAAGCATTTCAAAAAGTGTCTTGTTAAATATATATATGACCAAAAATGTGATTTGACACCTCATTCATGGGTCTACGACAAACGGTGCGGGAGGAGTAGTGCGCCGAAGTTTTGTCCAGAAGAAGAAGAATAAGTATGCAAGATGACAATAGTGATGCCTTGCCTTTGGCAAGCACCACTAATAATAAACTTTCTCAAGCCAACTTAATAACAACAGAAAAGTCGCAGCAGGAAGTGACGCAGCGGCGCGTTCCTCTGTGTTTGTGTGGAGGGTGCGGCGCTGGTGACTCACGGCATGCTGGGTTGCCTAGCAACAGCAGTTGTTTTCTTTCAAACTCTGAAGCCAAAAGTTTGAGAGAGAGAGAGAGAGTACTGTTACACATGTACATAATGTTCCAGTTCTAAGTCCTATAGTTGCTGCATGACTTCTGTATTATAATGGGGTTTTTCAGACATACACAGCTTGAGTAGCAAGATTGTGTTCAGTTTTAACTCTTTCCTCCATTTTGTATTTTTGGCTAAGTATAAGAAGCACTTCATCCGGTACTTAGTGTCTTTCATTCCAACATAAGAAAACATTTCTGGAATCTGCATCTGAAATAGCATTTAGATGTATTTACACAGTTTAATATAGGCCTATTTCAGAGGGGACATGGATGCATTTAACCTGCACTCATAGATGAATATATAATGTTTTGTTTTTAACATAAACGCTGAATACTGTTATTTGAAATGATTTTAAAACATAAAAAAATTGTTGAAATGTGAAATTAAAACCGCCAGTAGGTGACAGCAAGTGCCTGTTAATGAGTGAGTCAGAGATTCAACCGATTCATTCAAACGACTGATTCATTCAGAAACAAAGCATTTGACTGTGTTAATGAGTGAATCAGAGAATCATTTATTCAACCGATTCGTTCAAAAAGCTGATTCATTCAATAAGTAAACACCGTCCTTTGCTCAGAGACGCAAAACAGTGCTGTGATCTTTGTTTAGAACTATATTCGTTAGCAAAATAGAGCAAAAACAAGCAATATTGTGTTTAAAATGTAAGTCACTTATTGCTTTACTGAACTTGTATAAAATTGTTGTTAAATGTGTTCATATGATGCGATTTCAATTGTTCCTTTCTCTTTAGAGTGTTACAAGCTCTTGGTGCATAAAGAAAGTTCAAAACACACACACACACACACATCCACCTTCTGTGTGTGTGTGTGTGTAACACTGGAATAAAGATCACGATGGATTAAACACACAGTTGTTGTAAGACTGTTGTTCTTGCACAAAGACGTTACTGTGTGTGTGTGTGTTCAGGTGAGGCTGTAACTGTCCTGCAGGTGAATTCTGGTTGAACAACATTTCTAGCTTCTCTCTTCTTCTTCTCATTAGGGTGTGTGTGTGTCACACAGGGTGTGTTTGTGTTTGTTTCCTCACTGAGAGTCCAACACTAAACTCACAACAACACATTTCACAAAAACCCACAGCAAAGACTGCAAACAGCAGGAATAAACCAAGCACGTATTTGTCATTATGTGATGCGTTCGCTGAAGTGTTTGCTGTTTTTTGGGATCCAAATGTCTAAAAACTTATCCAGCAGCTTTAACTTTCAGACAAATCTGAAGCTCTTTTACAGCTGTTTATCTGAACCAAACTGAACTTCGGCATCGAGAGACTCTCGTCAGAATAATGTCCACCAATGAAGGTCTAGACGTAATGAAGCGCGGCTCGCGCGGACATCAGGACAGTCTGAGGACAATTCAGTCCTCGCGGACGCTAGCATAATAGTCTTGAGAATAAAAGAGAAATGAGGAGCAAATATCTGCCAGTGGGGTCAGAAATATCAACTTGCTTTCCCTTCGAAGTAAGCTTATGTTTTGGACCCCAGTGGTGAACTCACTTCGTCTCGATCATTTTCTCAGAAAAGCAGCTAAACAGTTGCATGTGTCATTCCAGTGACGTCATGAATCATGGCAGCCTTTCGCTGGTCTCACGTTCTTCAGCTGGAACTGATTGAGATCCAGCCAATGAGGCTCCAGCTCTCTGTGAGTCTGTGAGTGTGTGTACTTGCTTTGGACCAAATGTCCTCACTTCTATTGTGAAACGCTTTCTCATCTGACTGCTGCTCACTGGTTAAAGAGGATAAGAAATCAGCCAGCAGATGTGTTTGATGTTACATCTACAGTTAAATATCATTAACCTGATAGAAACTGTGTGTGTTTGAGTGTGTGTGTGTGTGTGTGTGATTTGAGCGATGGTCTGTCAGAGGGTGTGGAGCGTCTGTATTCACAGAGTGTTTACCCATGAATCACACACATACACAGAAGCAGAGTTTGGAGGGAAGAGTGAGTGTGTGTGTGTGTGTGTGTGTGTGAGCCAACGAACGGTAAAGCTATCTTTCACAGAGTTTCACAGAGCCGGAGGGAAAAGGGCTTGTCAGGACCTTCCCAAACGCCACACCCTTTTACAGACAAGAGCGAGACACTGCAGGAATGAGAGTGAGGGGCGGGTCTGGGGGCGGAGCCAGTGGAGAGCGGCTGCACTGATAGCTCAGTGTAAAGATCTTCAGTCACACACACATCAAATCTGGAAGTGTGAAGCTGCTCTCATTCAGTGACCGGTCTTCTGTTACTCCGCAGGTAAGATCTGAGACTCCTCACACGTCTCTCCACTCGTCTGGGGTCTCGTCTTAGTCTTGAGAGGGTCTGTGTGAGTGTGTGTTGGGTTTGAGAGTGTGTGTCAGGCGGTGAGATGATGGCGTTCGGTCAGAGAGACGCTCAGCTGTTGTTCTTCTGTGTAAATGTGACAAATCCTGAGAAACATGGAGGACTGAGTGTGTCTGAAGGGGGCTGAGAGGGACAGACAGCGAGAGGAGGGACGCTTGCTTCAGGGAGTGGCATTTCTGTGCAATGCTGAGACAAGTTTCAACCCATTGAGCTGAGAAAACACTGGATCTGCTCATTCATAGCTGCTGCACACACACACACACTCACTCACTCACTCACACACACACACTCACTCACTCACACACACACTCACTCACTCACTCACACACACACACACACACACTCACACACACACTCACTCACTCACTCACACACACACACACACACACTCACACACACACTCACTCACTCACTCACACACACACACACACACACTCACACACACACTCACTCACTCACTCACTCACTCCCACACACACACACAGACACACACACTCTCACTCACACACTCTCACACGCCCACACACACACACACACACACACACACACTCACATTATGGTTTAACATGCTAAAATGTCACGTTTATTGTAAATTATACGTTTATTATATATAATGTACTATATTAGTATCTCCCACATCGGCTAATGAACTGGAAGTCTCGCACATAGGCTTACTTCGTCGTCGAAGAATAAGGTGGATAAGTACTAATAATCAGCCAATATGTTAATAATAAGCATGCTAACAAGCAACTAGTTAATAGTGAGGATTGGTCCCTATACTAAAGTGTAACCTATAATGTAATATAATTATCTGTGACCGATAGCGATTAGTAATATGACAGAAAGAGTTTGCTCCAGCTACAGTTTGCTATAGAAGAATATGACACCATAGACAGTCCATGTTTCTCATTCATGCTGATATACGTGTGTGTGTGTGTGTGTGTGTGTGTAGGCCTGGTGGATGAGCAACACGATGTCCACTGATATTTGGGCTCGCTGGTTGCTGAATGGTGGAACCTGGAACTACACTGAGATTCCTGTTCACTATCCTAAAGGTCAGTTCTGTGAATCTCACAGGTCTGAAATCTCATTCTAATCCACAAAGAGCTTGGTAATAAGCACTACTTCTCACATTTGGCATCAACAGGTTTTCTTTAATGTTTCTTTCACTCACAGCAGCAAACTGACATTTACTGTTTTTGTACCGTCATTTTACATGCTATTTTTATGCATTTATTTGAAGTGGTTCTTAAAGGGTTAGTTCACCCAAAAATGAAAATTAGCCTGTGTTTTACTCACCCTCGAGGCATTCTAGCTGTATATGACTTTCCTCCGGAACGCAATGGTAATGATTGGAAGAGCCAGGATAATTTTTAATACAACTGAAAGAAGAAAGTCATTTACAGCTAGGATGCTTCGAGGGTGAGTAAATCACAGGCTAATTTTCATTTTTGGTTTAACCAGCTCATCAGACACTCACGTGT